TTCATATAAATAATTGACTAAAACTCTAGCCCGATCCACCAAATCATTATTCGATCTTGTTTGTGTTCTTCTATTATTATTGTTTCTATGTTGAAGTCTGTCAATTTCATCTGCACATTCTAAAAATGTAACACGATCCACAGAATGCTTCAACCCCATTCTTAATAATGCTGTTAAACATCTTTCGTCAGATACAATATCACGGTGAACAATCTTCCCAGAATCTTTAAATATCGTTTCGAATAATGGTTGTTCATTGGAATAATATAAATTTCTAGCAAGTTTTAATACTTTGTCCGAATCATTTGGAATTGCTGCTGTTTTATTCATTAGCAAATCTTTGGCGTTATTAAAATCATTGGAAATTAAAACGCTTTTAATGAAATCAATATATTTTTTCTCATCTTTATATTTTGATGGAAATTGAATAGTATCTTTAAGAAAATCATTTAGTTCAACAACTCTCGCTCCTAAATTTGTTAGTATTATCCTATCCAACGTAATAATATCATTGTTGTTACTACTATTTTCATTTTCATAAAAAAATCCATTCAACCTGCTACTATTTTCATCGAATAAACGAATATCTTGAGGTTTTAGAGATACATCAGAAGCTCTAAAAAAACTTTCGCCGTTTGGAAAAGTCGGCCAAATTTTCAAATTTTGTAGGACATAATTAAATTCATGAGTTAGCAAGCTCCATTTCTCTCTCACATACTTCTTTATTACCTCGATATCGTCTGGTTGTATGTCGACATTGTTAGCTAAGAAATCATTATTTTGTCTTATAAAATTTTCCAATACTCGAAAAATGTTCTTATAATTCCATTCGAGAATATAATCTTTTAGTTTATCATGTATATTTCTTCTGGTGAACTTTACGCCTAATTTAATTAGTACATGTATCATGTCTCCATCAGTTATGGATTGTGGAACTTTAAATACGGGGTTATCAGAATCTAAAAGATATAGAGCATTATTTGGTGAACAAATATCTAACAGTGGAAAATCTCGAAAAGATTCTACACCGTAATCGGACGCTAAAATTATTTCCCAAATGTTTTCTAACCATATAAAATTTGAAATATTATGTAAAGAAGCAGAAGGATCCCAATATTCTATATTTTTCTCCTTGGTCAATTGATGTTCTAAAAGGTGTAGTAATGTATTGGCATTAAAAGAACTAATATTGGTTGCCCTTTGAAAATCCTCAGATTCAAAAATTGTTCTCAATTCGCGATCTTCCACACAATCTCTATGAACAAAAAAGGAACCGTTTACATTTGAAAGAAGTCTTCTTTGTTCTGTAGTTGCAATATATTTTCTTTCGCCAAATTCACCATAACTTTCATCTTCAAGTGGAAGCAATTTTATTCCCCTTATCATATCATAACATTGTTGATCTTTTAATAAAAATTTTAATAATTTTATGATGTCTTTGATAGCGTGTTTATTTGTTATATCATCAATATCCTGACCTCTAAGTTGTTCACAAATGTTTTCTGTGGCGACTTTGTTAACCTGCAAACCAGATTTTTCTAAATCTTTTAAATATTCTTCGTCTAATCTTACAATTGTCGAGTTAAATTTTTCAAGAAGTTCAATGGTAAGTTTATCATCTTCATTTTTAAAACACGCCTCTTCGAATGTAACATACTTTCCACCATCACCATCAAAACCACGAGTGAAAAATAATGGTTGATCTCGAGGAAGTAGTTTTAACACTGCGCCACCAAATTCTCTAACATATTTCTCATGTGAAGTTTCTTGTGATGGTAATGGCCAATACTTGACAATAATTTGTTCTTGAGAATATTGATTCCTTGCCGAATCGACGAGATGTTCCAAAATTTTTATGTAAAGTTTTGGTAAAACATTTAACAAGATATAACGATTCCATTGTAAGTACAATTCATTTTTGTCAGAGAGCGCATCATCATTTAACAAGATATTATTCCTTGATGAATTGTTTGCCCAAATACCATTCAAATGAACAGGTAAATTTGTCATTTGAGCTAATGGAAAGAAACAAAACAATCTTCCTATAAAATCATCAGTTATTTCATTTAAAGCAGCAACACCTCCCCAAGGTTTTAAACGATTTTTTCCTGCGAAATCTTCAAGTGTTTGGTCTCCAATTAATCTATTGCCTCCTGTACACACAATCCAATTTTTTGATTCCTCAGTTTCATCTTTCATAACTTTCGTGACAGTATTAAGAGCAAAAATTTCAGGATCAATATTATAAGAGAGTCTTTTTTCTCTGATTTCATCAGAATTGGTGATACTAATACTCCATAAATGTTCTTCTTCGGCAGTTTCCTTCAAATGATAAACGTCGATTGATTCGACGTATTTTAAGAAAATTAGACAGGAAATTGCATCCTTTTTAAAATTTTCCAGGAACTTTAGAATTTGTTTTGCATCATAAATCACATCGCTAATTCTACTTTCAGTGTTTCTAAGAGGAAGTCGAAACAACGTTCCATCAAAAATTTCATTGGGATCAAAATCGGCAATGTCTTTATAAGGTTGTAATTGATCGCTATACAATCTCAAAAATTCCTCTTCTGTATAGTTACGAGCATAACCACCTGGAATATATTTTCCTTGTGGGTCCAAAACACGAAAATTTCCACCAGTCACAAAACTGGGCGCATCAGTAAAATTAAAACAAGACCTAAAACCAATTCCGAATTTTCCAATTTTTACATCATTGATAGCTTTCCTACCACCATATACAGAAAAAAAATGGTATTTTGTAAAGTATTGTTTTTAATGGTAAAGTAGCCAAAATTTGTAATAAAAATTATATCAGAGAATGGGCCATTTTTCATACAAATCAATGCAGTGGTTGTTCCACAATGATTGATTTAATTTTTCCGGTTTTTTTTGAAACACACTGTACATACAATCAAAAATATTTTTTTGATGCCTAATTGATTGATTTCATGATTAATCTCACAAACATACAACCAGAAAATATTTTTACGCAGTGAATCTCGATTTAGCATACCCGATTTAACAGATTGAGGTCCAAGACGATTAAATAATAAACTATAATAAAGTTCTTCTCGATATAACGAATTTTTTGTTGTGACGGATTTTCGAAAAATTATAATAATAATAATTCTCCTATTTTTTTTAAAATAAAAACTTTTATTAAAATTTTTTTTCAGTTGGCTGTGACTCGTCCCAGCTTCTTTGAAGATATAATAAGCCACTATTAGACGAATTCATTCAAAAATTCACAAATTGGCGTTGGTTACCCTTAAAAACTAATAGGGAATTACTGTGCTCAAGTCAATGAAATGACTCTTTAAAAGACTCGCTCTTGGTTTATGGATTACGGTTGACTCGGTTAAATCAACATATAGAGATTTAAATAATCTTTCGCATTTACCAGATGGAACATGAAAGTTTTAAAGATGTAGTTTCTTCTATAAATGAGAATTTAACTTCATCTCATCTTCTTCTTCTTTTAAAGTTGAGAATGTTATTCTCTCATCTTCGACCTCCTCTTCCAAAATCCTCCAGCAGAAAAACTCTTGGAAAAAAAACAAAATATTAAAATAGATTGGTACTATGCGTTGGACATAGAAAATATTTACGTGAAATTATATCATTAATAGATCTGGAAAACTTAAAGGCACCAGATTTGAGTGGATTCTTGGCACACATTATACAGCAATGATTGACCTTTTAAACCATTACAAGACAAATATTGAGATAACTTTAATTGAAATTCAGGTCTAAAAAGAATAAATCATCATTCTATCAAGAGAATGAGGGAAAAAATCGTGGACATTATTCATTTCTCAAAGGTATTAAAGCAAGTAAAAAAATACCAATGAATTATGACCTTCGCCTCACCATGAATCGTCTTAGTGAATTCTATTTGTGTATCCCCCAAACCACTCGAAATTCAGGCTGATGACCAAGGCCCTAAATTTTCGGCAGTTGAAGAGAATAGAGACGCTGGCACCATCATTTCTCTTGAACTAGGAATGAGAACCTTCATGGCTGACTATAATCCAAGTAGTAAGGTTATAGAATGGGAAAAAGAGGATACGTCACTTTGCTTACATTACGGCAGAATACAAGGTGAACACACAAGAAAATTCGTAATCTTGTGGATGGTGTCATCGAAGGTTAGCAAAATTGTTGCGCGAAAACCACATGTAGTTTTGCTTCCTGGATTTAGAACACAAGGCATGGTTAAAAAATACGGTTTTAGAAAATCCACTCTAAAACTGCAAGACAAATAAATGTTGACCCGGTCACATTACCGTTTTGCTCCACAAATTCCCCGAGTACCCTTGGTTCGAGGTCATCGTCTGCACCGAGGAATACATTAGCAAATCGTACGGATAAAGATTTTTTAATTGTACATCTTGCAAATCCACTATTAATTGAGATGCAAATGGAGCTCGTAATGTACTTTTTGAAGTATATTACAGAAAAACAACAAGAGCCGTTCGTGACGTTGGGGCTTACATATGAGACACCTTATTGTAGACTGTCTACGTAGGACTTGTATTTAGTATTAGGATAGGTTCAATGTAAGGAGAGGTTTTTTTAAGGAAGGGGATTAATCGTGTAATAAAAAAATGTGATACTAAATTCCTTTTTATTTGTGTTCAATCGCCACAAGGAAAATCCCTTTGTTCGGATATTGTTACAATGCATAAAATGTTGATTTTTAATTACAAAAAAGTCTTTTTTAATAGAAAAATAATCAAATATTTTTAGTTTGGGTTGTTAACAAATGTTAAAAGCAAAGAGAAGTATGTATTTATGTATGTATGAATTCTTTTGTTTTGTCAGTCGTTATGAATATCATTCATAATTATCTAATAACCAACTTTTTAATTTTTTTAATTAATAAAAAAAAAAAAAATAAATATAAATAAATATAAATATAAATACATACAATCTACAACATTTGCAAATATAATTTTTTAAATTTTCCTCAAAACATAATAATAAATAAATAAAAAATGGAAACAAGAACAACTTCAACAACAAAAAATATTTCTGAAATGAAGCTTCAGCGTATTATTGAACATAATAAAAAACTTCGTGAACAATTAGATTTACCAAGAATAAAAGTATCACAGGCAAGTTCAATGTATGTATCCCATGGCAATGATTCAATAGATGATTGATAGATTAATTAACAATCTAACTCCTTGTCGTTTTCAAAGGTTAATTAAATACATTCAATCTACCAAGGATCATTTGGTGCCTTCAGTATGGGGTACTGCTGGTGCCGCCGACCCATTCAATAATAGAAGTGGTTCTTATTGTACAGAATGTGTTATTTTATAAATATTTTATTATTTTGTTTGAAGGTGGGAGATGAGAATTTTGTTTTATAGAAAGAAAAAAGTTAGAATTTTCAAAAAATATATTTTTCTTTCAGCGAAGGAAATCTATAAAATCCAAAAAAATTACTTATTCACATTATACACTTAATTTAATAATAATAATAATAATAATAATAATAATAATAGTAATAATAATAATAATAATAATAATAATAATAATAATAATAATAATAATAATAATAA